ATGCGTTCCGGTTGTATTGTAAACAACGGCATCGTTAATATCGCTTATCAGTTTGCTTATAGATTTTTACGTGCACCTCTAGTTTTCTCTTCCTCTTCTCTAAAGCAGCGCAGCATGGCCTCGCCCCCTTTGCTGCCTTTTCCCGAGGGCGGGGTTTATCTGGGTTTGTTACATCACAAACCCGGGAAGTAGTTTGTAGTCCCTACCAGCCATTTTTGTAGGCATTAAACTGACAGAATTTTAAAAGATATCTCCGTTTGCATTGAACTTTCAGCTTCGTAACTTTGCAGATATTGTTTATGCTTAAACGGCAACATTACACACTAACTAACGTTAAAAAAGTGAAATCGCGATGAACCACCCCTTTAAAATAAAATATCTAAAGGATTGATGATACAGATTAATTTTCACAGCCGTCATATTTTGATAATTTGATCATATTTACCAAGGGTATGAGTAATTTTGAGCACAACTGTATATTTAATTAAATCACAGCCTTCGCTATTTGTTAATTGCACTGAGCCATGTTGCGATTTCAGTGTTACTTTGATTAATTGTGCAGCACTATGGACCAGAATATCATAAAGACTTGGAATGCCTTTGTAGCTGCGTAGCAACTCCCTAGCAACCACCCTATCAACGTGGCATGCCATTTTTCTTGCATCATTTTCTTTGGAAACTGTAAAAAATCTTTCCCGCATCAGGTGTTGAAGAGAGAGTACAAGTTGTATTTCTCATTCAAAATGGTTAAGAAAGCACACATCTCCTTACAAACCTGACACAGATATGAAACCTTAAGTGCTAAGTTCTGATTGTAGTCAGAGGTGAACTGAAATACTCTAGGTGAAACCTCTCTAGAAAAAGACCCGCAGGTATAGATGCGACAGCAAAATTGTGAAATGGAGAAAGCGATAAAGAAAGGAGGAGAGTGAGAACGTTTTTCCGGTAGCTTGCACTGATCTGTGGGCCCCAGTCTTTGCCCAGTGTTTGGTTAAATTATGTGGAACTCATTTGACGGCTGCAGAAGTGGCTGTATTCACAGTGTCAGGTATCGACTGGTATAATTATGCAATTATGAAGCTTTATCCTGCCTCTCTCTCTCTCACAGAGCGAGCTCTTAGTGTTTCAATTAGATGTTTTTTCTCTCTTTTGCTCCCTGATTTTCTTATTTTTTCTGCCCATCCTCCATTTGTTGGTTACAATGAAGATGCAAACAGAGTCTGCCTATAAAATAAGCAGGTTATGTTTTTGTCAACTGGTTTAGAGTATTTTGTCTGGTCTCTAGTTTATAGAGAGTGATGTGTTTTTAGAAGATTCTTAGAATGTTTTGAGCATCCACAGGTGAGCAGGGCAGGCATACATTTCCAAAGACTGGAAGATACCAAGAGTATGTCATGGTTTCCACAAAAATATTAAGCAGCAACTGTTTTCTACAAAACATAAGAAAAGAAAAAAGAAATTGTTCTTAAGCACCAAACCATTATATTTGAATGGTTTGTGTATGAACATGTGAATTGTATAATGGCTGCTGAAAATAGGACCTGTGATTTCCGCGATGCGGACAGAATCGCGGAATGGGGTCATAAAATTGGAATTTACTGTATAATGTGGAATTTGCCAAATTTTGGGTAAATAAATAAAAAATAGGCCGGTACACTTAAATGCAAATGTGATATTGACTAATGTCTGTGAATAATAAACCACAAAAATACTATCTAAATATGAATTGTGCATATTCTGCGTGTCTCTGTGTGAATGAATGGCGCAGATGTGCGGTTTGGTTTACTACACATACTGAAGCTCTTGTGATGCTCGCAGTGTTTTCAGCCTTTGCTGTCTCAATATATGAGTGCATGAACACATAACATAATCTATGGAGCTGCTCTGAGTGTCACTTCATAAGCATTTTACAATTTCTTTTGAGGAAAAACTATCGTCATATATACAGTGGGTACGGAAAGTATTCAGATCCCCTTAAATTTTTCACTCTGTTATATTGCAGCCATTTGCTAAAATCATTTAAAGTTAATTTTTTTTCCTCAATGTACAAACAAAGGTTTTCACAGCAACCCATCAAAATAAAGGTTCGGTTTAACTTGAAGAAACTGACGTATATATTGCTTAATATTATAATAGTAATGCTACTATTAATAAAATTATTATTAAAAAATTTTTTAAGGAATATCTAGGAGAATTTATTTACCTGAAAAATGTAAATACACACAGTAAAACACAGTAAGAAAAAATAAAAAATGAATTTTTTAAAAATCTATTCATTAGAGATGCTTTTAATTACTAAAATTTCATGAAAGCTTTCAAATGGAATCCAGAAAATTAATGGAAAACAGAATTTGTTTAAAGAAAAATAAAAATGAATTTTAAAAAAATTAAATATTTCATAGGGCCTTAATTTTTTGTTAAACTTTTAATAAATTGCTATTAAATAAGTTGCTGTTAAATTGTGTACATTTCAGGATTTCAATTAATTAGACATGCTTTTTGAATAATAAAATTTAATTTGACAATTAAAACTAGATTCTAGAAATATTAAAACCTTAAATGGAATCCAGAAAAATTAAAATGGGAATAACGGGATTTGGGAACAAAATAAAATGGATTTCCCTATAAAAGTGCAGCTTTGATATCATGAGAATAAATTCCATTTTGAAATGTATTAAAACATAACATAGTTATTGGTGAGCCTCGATGAGCATAGGAGGCCGATGCTGGCCTATATATATATATATAAATAGATATATATTAAAACTCTTATTTTAGGATTTATATGGATCAGCCTGATTCCGGGAAAGTGCATCAATACACCTCTATTTAATGTGCTTGTGAAGAGTGTGTTTCTGGCCTACTTATGGTGTGCTTTGATGCTAATGTTATCTCTTTCACGGCCACTCTGTTTTTATTCTTGTGCCCAAGGAAGAGAATAAAAGACTTCAGAAGTCTGCATGTATGCAAGCCCAATGCCTCTTTGAGGGTCACTAATTCAGAATGAAGAAATGTGGGTCAGCAAACAGGTGAAATGGCAAAAAAATCTCCTTTTTCATCAAATCAGGCCACTGTACATAGGACAAAGTCTCTACTGGCCATCCCTGCTGAATTGAGGATGGCCCATCCCATTGTGTTTTAAAAACAATTACATACTTTTTTTCAGTTGGCTTGTGTGTGTTCCTGTAGTCGCAATCTTTTGCTAAGCCCATGGGAACTGAAGTGTTGGTTTAGTCTTGGGTCTCCAGAGGCACAAAAGATCTGTTAAGGCAAACAGAGGGGTGATAACACCGGCGCTCCCTTCAAAATGAAAGCCAAACAGCTCACATATGTTCAGATTCAATTACACACTCTGGGTTTCCCTTAGCCCCTGGGCTTACTGCTAATTACGCAAATAACATCCACATAAAACACCGCCCAGATGAAATTAATTGAGAAATTAAAACAAGCCGTTGATTCCGATAATGCTGTGAGGTCTGAATAATAACCCATGTAGGCCTTACAGGTTTGACAGCACAGGTGGGATGACCAGACTCATCTCTGGATTCAGCAGGGGCGATAAACTGACCAGTTTATCCACAGATGCTTGTAGATCAGGCAATAGAGACAAATGAAACCAGTTTACCTTTATGTGCCATATTTCTGAGTGAAACTTGAGCAAATGTGATTATATCCCTAAGGAATTAATTGCAACATAAAATGGGCATTTCATACCAGAATTAAGTCAGACCTTAACTGAGTTTGGGGGGGGGAAATCATAGCTCAATATTCTGTGCGATCTAAAAAGGGATAGTTGTGGAAAAGCTGTGAAGTTATTTGAATTAACACCTGGAACATGTAATAATGTAGAGTCATGGTGATCATGTGGGACGAACAGGTTCAAATCTGGCTTGCAACATTTTCTTGATCCAGTTCCACTCTCTTCTCCATGTCTTCTAATGTCCTTGTAAATGAAGGAGGTGATAAATAGATGAATAAATAATAATAATGAAAAAATAAATAAAATCTTGGTGTAAAGACTGACAACTTCAGGAAATTAATAAACTGACTTTAAAAGTGTTGTTGATTTTAAAAATATTTTTGAAATAAGTGCTCATGATTATAGTGCTCACCAGGGTTGCAGTTATTTGATCCAAAATACCATACAACTTTACAAACAGTAATATTGTTAAAATATTAGTTTAAACTTGTAAACACTTTTTTTTGTTTTTCATTTTAATATCTTTTTTAATTAATTAATTCTTCTTCAAAGCTGATTTTCAGCAACCTTTACTCTAGTCTTTAGTGTCACATTGTCTGTCAAAAATCATTCTAATATGCTGTTTTGGTGCTTAAGAAACATTTCTTATGATTATCAACATTGAAAACAGTTGTGCTGCTTAATACATTTTCTGGAAACTGATTTTTTTTCCAGGATTCTTTGATGAATAGAAAATTCAAAAAAGCAGATTTTTTTTTATTTTAATTAGAATTCTTTGTAACATTATAAATGTCTTCAATGTGTTCTCTCTGAGTAAAAGTATTATTTCAACACAAAAAGAAAAAAAAAACATTTGTACGGTAATGTTAAAGTTCTAGTTTTATATCTAATATTGCATCTTTTCATCTAATATTGCATCTATTTTAGCATCTTTCACCAGGCCCTATTTTCCTGTCTCTATTTCTATCTCCCCCTTTCTCTCTCTTTTTCAGCCTTCTCCAGTCTATAGTAGGGTAGGTGGTGGTAATGCTTCAGGGACAGGTGCTCCTCTGATACTAGGGGTTTATTTAGTGCTCCGTCATTAGCAGGGCATTACCCACATTACCCCCTGGCCCCTGCTGTAATAACAGGGGCAGGAAAGGCAGTGTCAGCAGGGGGCAGCTGCATCTGCTGCAGGCTGAGGCCTCACATGGCCCCACCACAGGCAAAAGCACCAGCAACCCGTCTCCTGGGGGCCGCAGTCACATGCATCACTGCCGATCAGCTTTTTGAATCTTTTTCTTTCTCTCTATTTACACAGGGTTGGCTGCTGTGTGAGGATCAGGCCTGCCAGAACCGAACCCGCCGGCTACCCATCGCGTTCTCGAGGTCTGGTCCGATCTGTCCAGCCTGTCTTAGATCCACGCTGAGGCCTGAGGTACTGCACACTTTTTTTGTATACAGAAACAGTCACTATGTCCAGATGGTGGTGCTGTGGAGCCTATGAAAGTTCTCCATGCCTCGGCCCAGGCCTTTTATTCCCTGTCCGTGTATTTTTTTATTTTTTTCCATCGGTCACCCATGTTTCTACCCATTATATATTACCGGCCCTGTCTGACCCGTATGACACAATATGGGTTTGCTTCCTGCCTTAACAAGCTTCCTCTGATAAGAACCGGCCTCCAGTTGGACTTGGCCTTGGACTCGCGGCTTAAAAACTTGTATGTGGGGTGTTTCACTCTTACTTCATGCTGTGATCACTTCAAGCATCTTCGCCCAGTTTAGAGACACAGTGATGGACATCCCTTCCAAAAATTAGTGTCTGTCTTTGTCCCTGTCTGTCTTCTTTATCATTTTCGTCCCTTTACCAACACCCCCCCCCCCCATCAATTCCTTCTTCCTCCTCGTGCTTTATTTCTGCATCTAGTTCTGTGGCGACAGGTTGAAACCCAAAAGGACAATTTCTCTTGTCACCATAGCCACTTAGCTGTCCTCCGCTTTGCCTGGTGAGATGGCAGTTTAAACTGCCGGCTGAATAAAACATTAACTTCCTCACCCCTTTGCCGTCCCTCTGTCGTTCTGGGCTTTACAGCTCGGCTGACAGCAATGCGTCTCCTCTGGTGTCTCCACGGACACAGAGACATTGACTACCATTGTATCCAGATTAAATGGAAGCGTAATAGGCACCCTCGTCTGATTGGCCGGTAATTTGGAGGAGTTGTACACAGGTGCAATTTGTAATATTTTCAGTAAATTAAATTTTTTCCCTCTCTCTCCCTTGTTTTCTTTCACTGGCGCTCTCTCTCTCTCTCCGTTTTTCTTTTTCAGCTGCTTTCCCTTGCTCGTAGATCTCTCCAACCACCCCCACTCTCTGTCTGTCTGTCTCTCTTTCTCTCTCTCCCTCTCCATTTTATTGATGTACGTTCAGGCACCCATTAGGGCTTCCTTTTTTTCCCTCTAGTGGAAATTGCAGCATGTTAATTTTCACACAAATTACAGCAATAGCAGGTATCTCTATTTGATACATTATAACAGGAGCAATCAGGGATAATTGAGTGCCTTTCAGATGGTAACCGGCGCATTCACTTCAATTCAAAGCCAGTCCATTTATCGTCTAATCGCTCTTTAAACACTGAATTTCTGGGAACAAAAATTCTTGTCATAATTTTGCTTAAGTGTATTTGGAAATCACAGTCCTTTGAGCAAGGATAATTGAAATCAAATCCCTTTCACGGGAGCTGACATTTCTACATTTCCCCCCAATTGAAATTAATTTCAAAAATTGAGCATGAATATCTTCAAATAGCAGGCAATTATACCTTTCAATGGGGAGAAATTATGTTCACAAAAAGTGGAGACATCAACTGGCGCTTCAGTTAAATGTCTTTGTTTCCCACTGTGTTTGCCTTGTAAAGATTTACATATATTGACTCGTTATGAAACCTTGTGATGCCGATCGCCTTCCTTTTCCAGCTCAGCCCGTTAAAATTAACTCAGATTGGAAGGTTTTTTTTTTGTTAAGCCTCATTAAAACTGTTTGGAGATTTTTCTTCTTTTTTTCTACGTCCTCTCTTTTGCAGCTGCACAGATCTATGTGAATTGAAAGAGTAGCCATTTTCTCTGCTTCTCGGCTCAAAGAGAGGATATTATACATCCTTTACATATAAGCACCATGACCGCATTAAACTATCCGCATCGTAAGTTTGGCCAGTGATCTTCATTGAGTGTCTTTAAATGTAGCTACTTTTTTACACCCCTTTGGTCGTAGTCTTAAGGCCTCACGCTTGACACTTTCTCTTTTCCCCTCCATCCAGCTCTTCCGGCAGGCTGCGTTTGGGCTGTACCAAAGGTTCGGTGGTACGGCACTGGCTGCCACGTCTCTATCAAGGAGGGGGAGATGAGGCGGGGGTCTCAGGAGAGAGGCAATTTCACAGCTGGTTTGCTCCTCAGTCACTCGGGCCGAAAATGCTGTAGATTTGTGGAGAAAATTGAAATGGTGTCAGTACAGGAACAAAGCATTGAGCCGAGCAAAGCTGCATAAGGGAGGGGCCTCTGTTTGCGGGGTGGGGGGGGGTTTAAATTCAATAACGTTTGACGGCGCCTTGGTCACACCCCTTTTGACACCTGTCAGCACAGCTGTGAAGCTCTTCCTGGCCCTGCCTCGTGTGTCTGTTCACTTATTTCTTGGACTGTGTTTTTAGTTCACAATCTCCTTCGCGCGCATATGGCGACCTGGCGCTGATTATAGGAGCTCCATTATGGCCGCATTGCTGAATCGACAAGCACGGCTGTTGACCAGCCAGTGCATTATGGGTCAACAGCTGCTGGGCTCATCAGAAGCTGTAGAGGGCAATTAAAAGCCGTTGTGCTGAGGAGAGAGCCCTTGCTAAACTCCTCCGGCACCCACATCGCTCTGATTCTATGGTGACAGAAAGACTGTGACCCAATAACAGCAATTAACATAAAAGTATAATGGCTAATCAAATTGACAGCAACAGTTGTTCATCAGATCCACACACGCTGCCTTATCAAAACAAACTATTATGAAAGAGGTAATTTCAGAGCTGAACATCTCTCTCTCTTTTTCTCTCCCTCCCCATTCTCTTTTATTCTCTCGCTCGACCTGTGCTCCTCTGGCAGTTAGACACATGGCTAACGGTAATTACAGCTGAATTTACAAACCAAACACCGTTTCCTGCTTTTGTCAGGAGAGAAGGTGGGGAGTACACTGGCTGTTTTCGACCAATCAGACAGTTTCACAGGTTCTGTGACTCCAAACTTGGGGTTTGACTGAGCGCGTGTGTTTGTCTTTGTCTGTGACAGTGGAGAATATATGACAAACACTACCTGTCTCCGCAGCTGTAATTAACACAGGTGATTCTCCAGCTTTCCCTGATTGAGCCGCACCAATCTCATTACGCTTCAGCCTTTCATTTTCTCCGGAACAATAACACGTAGTACTAAACTGCATCAGTATGATTTTAGCTAATTGGTTTTTCCCTTTTCTTTTTTTAGTTATATTGAATATGCAAAGGAATAATCCGCAACCACAGTGTATCTAAAGAATTGGTAAAGAGCTTTGAATGTTAAAGTAATAGTTTTACTTTTTATAATGAGCAGGTCTTACATTTTTGTGGAGAAATCTACCTCTGATACACCGTACACAGTGTGTTTAAAACAGTGCCAAATGGCCCTCAGCACTATTTTTTTTTTTTTTTTACAAAATAGTCTTTATTTTAAACAAAATTTTTCTTTTCTTAATTTGATTAATTAAACCACAAAAAACAAACAATGAACAGATACCGTCACCACTACTTATAAACATCGCAAATTTCCAAATGATATATTAATACCATATAGAAATATTTAAGTACAGTTTTACAAAAATGTCTTATCGCTCTGTGAACTGGTCACAAGTACATTTTGCAACCATTAACCAATTTTGTAATGTTCAGTACAGTGTAAATTTGTAATATTATGCATTAGTATATTATGTGATTTGGATGGGATTGCTGGGTGGCAGGCCAACTTCAATGTAAAATCAGTCAAAAACCATGGTCTTTCTCCTCTTCTTGGAGAATTATTTTTGTATTAACCAAACAATATTCGTTTCATTGTGGCTGGTTTGCATGGGTGTACTGAATTTAGTCGGTTCTCCCAATATTTTTACACTTATTTTATTGAAGCATTGGTTTGGTTTGTGATTTATTTTCGCATCAGTGCAATGGAATTTGTACTTGTCAAAAGTCCACAAGAAATCAGTCAAGAGCCAGAGTAAATGCCTGAATGCAGTTAAATGTTAAATTCCGTATGTTATATACCTGTAATGGTGATGCACAGTTTTACCGAGCATTTTGTCTGGAACCAATAGGTGAAAGCTATTGATTTTGGCCTTTATTTAGCCTGGTTCTTGGACCAACTTGAAGACAAATCATGGTAACCTGTCTTTTTTACCTTGTTCTGTTTCCCAGAAGCATAACCTGGGAGTTTTGTGTATGTCTCATCACCCTATAAGTTGTAATAACTGGTCTAATCTGTCTTTTTTTTGTTTTTTTTATTGTAGTATTCAGAGAAAGCCCTCTACAACCAGCTGTGCTTCTACAGATTCATCTTCGACTGGGAATACGCCTTCAAAAATGTCCTGTCGACAGAGGATAGACGTAAGACTTTTATCACTAATTATCTTGGAAATTTGCTCACAAACATCGCCCATAAATACTCGTCCAGCACTTTTTTCCGACTCTGCGCACAGTTACGCGCACACACCTCACAGCGGCTGGAGGCAGCCACTAGGTTGGGTTAAGAATCCTCAGCTCCTCGAGTCGACAGCCGTAATTCAGGAGACGGATTCAATCACGGATCGGCGCGGTGCGGAATGCGAAGCCGTCCAATCAGTTGGAAGGAAGAGGGGAGTGAGTGAGAGAGAGCCTCCTCTCATCCCGTAGGCCCTCGGTAATAGCGCTGGCTATGTTGATTGAAAACAGTTTTTAGATTTTGGAAAATGATAGGGCGAGTAATTGGAGAGAAGGCTAAAGGATAGCCCTTCATAAATAATGGGACATGGAGCATATGTTTTCAGCGGGTCGTTGGAGGATCCAGACCGCTCACGGCCGCCGCTAGCCGAGCCGTGGCTACTTACCCACAATCCTTTTTGATTGATGTCACTTGATTAAAAAGGACCTCTTGGAATAGACTTATACATTTATTTATTTATTTTTACATGTGCCGATGAGGTTCCTAGCTGGGCGCGAGAGCCGTAGATAAATATAATGTGTAATCAATAGATGACCACTCAGAATGTGGAGCAGGCCGAGGGGAGAGTGTATCGGGGGGCGGGGGCCTAACATGATTATAGACTTGGCTTCTCCGGGGAATTTTATTTCTTTACTTTTTCCAGACTGTTGTTTCTGCGAGTAATTGTGGCCAATCTGCGGCATTCTGTCAGCCACACTGCCCATCACTGCAGCCGGGGCTCTAATTCCTGAGTGAGTGATTTTAACCCTCTAGCCCTGATTTTCACCAGGCGGAATGAGAGGTGACGTTACTCCTCCTGTCCTCCTCCTTTTTTTTTTTTTTTTTCTTTGCAATTGTTCTCTGAAACCATTTGTTTATTCTATTTATTATTTTGACTTTTTCACTTTGTAGTTGCATTTAGTGTCACGCACATCTTTCGTTATGGTCGTGCTGTATATACATGTAGCTCCGGCATGTACACGTGTATATTGTAGGATTAGTAGAGGACATCACACACGGCTTTGAAGTATATCCTTGGAACGGTTATCTCCCCTCTCACTATAATACTACACATTACTGTATTATAGGCCGCGGGGTTTACAGGGGTCTAGGGGTGAAATTACAGGGCTGCATGGCTTGTACTTCCTTTTACCTGGTCCAGTTTCTTATTTAGACCCTGGGATGTTACTTTGCCGTTATAGGGGTTCTGAATGTACTGTCTCGCACTGGGCACCTGTTCCATTACAGCATCCTTGTATTTATATACATAATGAAGATACGGCAGTAATGTTGGTTTCCACCTGGAATTGGTAAAATACTAGCCAGCTGTGACTTTAAACATTTAATGGTCTCACCATTAAGACTTTCACCTAAACCAGTCAGTGAAGAGCTAGTCTAAACACCGGTTAGTAATGGTGGTCACAGGTTAGTAACGTTTACAGTCTGTTTTTATCGTTTTTATTTATATAATAAAAATTATTCTCTGTGTATATGTATGTTTCTTTTCAAGTCCCAAAGATTAAGCTTTGAGTAATATGTATAATGAAATTTAATGCTGAATTTGTGTTTTTGTAATTTGTATTTTTTTATATATATACAGTTTGTTTGTTTTAGTTAAACTTAAGTGGCACCTAAACAAAATTGACAAATGTTGCCTTTTGTTGTATTTTTATTTTATTTCAGTTTATTTCAAATTGCATGACCACAACTGGTGGTCTCAACTATTTGCTCATAGATGCCTAGATCAGTGAGACTAAAAGCAGGTTAGTAATGCCAGTCACATCATGCGTGTCATTGGATGGTCAGTTGGTAAAATGAAAATAATCATAACGTGACCATAAACCACACAAGGGCTTAGAAGTTTGTGTTTGTAGATCTTTCTAGAAGCTTGTTACGCTGCACCACCAAAGTGTGTTTTCTTCAATGCATTTGCACCGATTACAAGAGCGCTGCGAACAAAGGTAGAGGGTTGAGCTGTGGTCCACCGCTGTTGACGGCGATGAAAGTGCTCTGGAGCGATAGTGGAATAAAGTACAGTTCAGAAAACTTTTAGCTGCCCTCTTCCCACACACACATACACGCACACCTTCTCGTAATTTACCAACCACCTCCCCCTCACACCATGAGACATTTAGTGTCGTATCTGCCAGATTTTCTGTCTGTCTCTGATGACGGAGGAATTGCTTTTAAAGTGGGCATTATGCCAGACCAGCAGCACAATAGAAAAACCAATCTTCCCCCTATTCTGTCTGCTCCGCTGTTATTGTGGAGCTTTAGATGACTGGAGACGTACGTTGCTGGTAGATTGAGCAAGAGAGAGCTGTTTCTGCTGGACGCCGAGGCTGGAGGTTAGAAGTCTCCAGCTGTCTTCGGTCGTGGTCGCTGGAAGGCGTCTGAACAATGAGAAGGGGTGAATGAACCTTTTGGTCGGTCTGGGAAGCCCAGAGAGGAGTTAAAATAACACGCTGCCTTGAAGGAGTTTGTTTGGACGGGCTGCAGTGTGTCGTCTTGGCCAGGGGTGGTGCTGTGGTTTGGTTCTGCTGGGATGCATTGCAGGGCTGTGATGGAAGGAGGGCCGTGGTGAATTCATCCCTCTGTTGCTTGATGGTGAAATTGCTGGTCAGTGCTTTATCCATTTGCAGTCTTTTCCTTACTAGATTACCTGATTCCTTCAGAGAGAAAAGACTGATGGAAATTGGCCTCCCAACCCCCCTTCACACAAATACACACTCACACACTCTCACTCACTCACTCTCTCTCTCTCACACACACACATGCACACAGAGAGTAAGGTAAAGGAAAGAAAATGCCTTCTCTCAAGTATCTATATCCAAGGAAATCACGGTCTGTAACCTGTCCCCTCACCTCAGCTCACAATGCCAGATTCAGTTTTTTAGTTTGTTTGAATTTTCCCTCTTTTCCTCGCTTTCCTTCACTTTTAAATAGCTTAAAAGCGCCGTGTGCATTTTACCTTCACTTTAGCCTATATATAAAACATAGAACTTTTATTAAAGGGGTCATATGATGCTTTTTTTAAATATCATTATTTTGTGTATTTGGTGTAACAGAATATGTTGACATGCTTTAATGTTAAAAAAACACATTATTTTTCAAATACTGTACATATTGTAGGTCCTCTATGCCCTGCCTCTCTCAAATGCTTAGTTTTCTTCAAAGTCCCTCCTTCCGACAAGTGCAGCCTGCTCTGATTGGCCAGCTGACCCAGTGCATTGTGATTGGCCGAACACCGCAAGCACTCGTCGGAAATGTAACGCCCCTTACCATAATCGCGAGCTTCATCTTTCAAAATAAATGTAAAGACAGAGCCCAACAGAGTCGCGTGACCGACACAGTGATGAAGCAGGTATGTGTGCAGTACACAAGCCACGGTTAAAGCCCCGTTCACACCGCCAGCGACTTTTTCGCTGTATGTCGCTAGACTCTGTGCTGTGAAGACGCTTGTGGGTGTTCCTACTGCTGTAGCTCTAATGTTATTGGTAGACTGCACGTCTGGACATATCTGGACATATAAAATGCAATCACAAACTGTATATTGCCGGTAAAACTAAGATATCATTATATTATGACTAGGAATTAGACTTAAAAGAAATAAAAGTACCATTCTGCTGTTGGAGAGTGTTGTTATATAAACTACAGCAGTGCTCGTGCATTAAATCATTAACTGGTGCTAAACTGCTCACTGCATCATGTAATTAACAACTCGAACCATCAATGTATGAATCAAACTCACAGCCAACAGGTTTTTTTCTACGCATTTTTTTATATCCATGTATGTGGTTTCAGTGAAATCGCTCAGGAAATCTGTCCTGTCTTGCCTGCACTCTAGACGGTGACGTGTGAGCGAGTGACAGATTCTTCACTCCTACTGGATGTCGCTCGCGAAATTCGCTGCTTATTCTCAACTTTTGTCGCTTGACTCGCATCGCTTGACACACCCACATTCCGTCGCCAACGGTCACTGTCGCTCGTGTCAGCGAAAGTCGCCAGCTCTCCATTGAAAATTAATGGGATTATGTCGCTCTGTCGCTGTGTGTCGCTGGCGGTGTGAGCGGGGCTTAAGACAGCTGACTCCACTGTGATCTCTCTCTCTCGCGCTCTTTCTCTCTCTCTCTCTCACTCTGTCACACACGCACGCACGCACACATACACACGATGCGCAAAACTCCGCCTCTCTCTTCTCTCTTCTCTCTTCTCTCTTCTCTCTTCTCTCTTCTCTCTCT